GCGGGGCGCAGGAGCCTCCGCTCGCCCCGTGACGCGGTCAGGACCCTGAGGTGGCCTTACCGGCGGAGGTGGTTGAGCACGGTCATGTTGGCATACATGTAGTACAGGTAGTAGGAGTAGGGCGGGTTGTCCTCCTCCACCCAGTTGCCCGGCAAGGGGCTGTCCAGGTTGAAGATGTGATGCTCCGGCTTGGACTCATCATCAACACTGTCGAAGCCGTCCACCTGCAGGGCAAGACGTTGGCCAGCTCTGAGGTCACCTCCTCCATCAGGAGACCTCCCATCCCCAGCCCCACGACACAGCAGACCCAGGCTGGGGGACAGATCTGGCGGTCACCAAGCCCCTTGGGTGCAGGGGTCAATGCTCACATGCTCCAGAAAGAGGTGCAGCTCCGGATGCTGGGCAGGGTGGACGGTGGCCTCGTAGAGGGGTAGGAAGATGTTCTCCAGCATCTCCTGGAAGTTGGCCAGCTGCCTTTTTGTCCGGTAGACATCGCTGCGAGGGCAACAGTGGTTGCTCAGCACCAGGCATCCCTCACACCCACGTCCCTGTCCTGAGCCCCTGCCGACCTGTGATGAGCACCCCAGGAGCAAGGTGGGGATGCCCGCGGTACTCACAAGAGCCGGGGCACCTGCACGAGCCAGCGGACGTTGTTGGAGTGAACGCGATGGTTCACAGCCCAGCGGGCCAGTTTGTCCCACTCATCGCGGGACCGGCCGTAGATGGAGAGCCGCAGCTCAGCGTTCTGATACTTGCTTTCCTCCAAGTCGGACATCACCTCCTGCCAAAGATATGGAAAGCATCATCCATCACCTCTGGGATGTGGAGAGACATCACCCTGGGTTGGGGCTCTCGGAGGGCTGCCAGCTGCCGTGGGCATTAGAGGAAAGGGGACCAGAGGGGTCTCTGGGGCAGGGTGCAGCGCGCCCGCCGCCCCAAACACCTCCCAGGGCTGCTCACCTTGATGATGTGGGCAAAGTACTTCCCCGAGACGCGGTTGTCCGTCTTGATGAAGATCTCCCGCAGGATGGACTCACCAATGGGGTTGTACTTGGCATTGAACTTGTCGAAGCGGTGGAAGGTGTTGCGGTCCTGGCATGGAGAAGCAGACATGAGCCGATGCCACCCACCACCCTGGAGCCACCCAAAATCGCCCGACCTGACACTGGGCCAGCCCCCAGAGAAGATGCCCCAGTCTGGCTGGAGAGAGGCCAGGGTCCCTGCTCATCTCCAGGGCTTGGGAGGGGTCTCACGTACCGCATGGACATCCAGCGTGTCCACGCTGAGGTCGTAGGCAGTGAGGTTCATGGTCTCAAAGACTTCCTTGAGCGTCTGCTCCTTGCCCTTCTCCACATGGACGATTTCGTCCAGGTGCTTCTTCATGGCCCGCTTGATGAAGCGCAGGAGATGCTTCTGGTTCATGCAGGACGAGGCGTGGATGTGGGTGTCCACCTGCGTGGGCAGGGGCGATGCTCAGCTCAGAGCCCATCCTCTCGTCCCCACCGGGGCACTGACCGAGCCAGGGACCCTCGGACGTGTGCCTTTTGCTGCTGAAGCCCCCAGGTACCTTGCGGATGTTGTAGAAGTCGCGGTGGGGCACCTTCTTCTGGGCTGCCAGCTCCTTCATCTCGTTGAGCAGCACATGCATCTGGAACTTGGAGCTCAGGTACTGCAGGCGCCGGTAGCAGAAGGATTTGCTGGCCAAAGCAGAAGGTGGCCATCAGTTTAGGGGAAAAAAGGAGAAAACCAGCCCTGGGGAGGGCCAGTGCCTGCCAGGACGAGCGGATGCAGGTCCCAGCCCTGGGCGCAGAGCTGGTGCTGCAGCCGGGACAGATGCACGGACGCTAGCACCGTGTGTCCCCGCCTTGACGTCCCCGTGACGGGGGGACAGACCCCGGCACTTCTCCTTACATGGGCCCGTTAATGATTAGAGCCATGAGGAAATTCATGTCGGCGATGAACTCCTGCAGGTCGGGGTACGGCAGGTCCAGCTCTGTGCTCCTGCGGTGGGGACAGAGGCCGGTCACACGCGGTCACGGGGTCCAAGCGGGTCCCAGCCCGGCCCCCTCCGTCCCCCTGGGTCACTGCAGCCCCCCAGGCGCCTCCCCAGAGGCAGCTGCCTCCAGGCTCGGTTCGTCCTGGAGTAAAAGCCGGGGGCTGATCCAGACCCTCCCTCCAGCTCGGCAAAGTTGGCGCGCCAGAACCAGGCTCGCGCCCTCCCCGCCCCTCACTTGTCGGTGACATCCCGCTTG